ATTATTATTAGTGTTGTTGTTGTTATCCTCATTATTGTTTCTATTAATAGATCTATTATTACTACTATTTCTACTGTAATTATTATTATTATTACTGTCAAACCTTTCCACTTTCTGCTCCCATTATATGATACTATCACACCCCATTTTCCATATCTTTTCTTTGGATTTTTCCACTATCTTTTTACATAAGCTTCTTGTTAATTTGCTTATTTTGTTTTTAGGTATTTTTTTGTTCTTCTAAGCATGTTTGAATTTCACTTGGTATAAATCCTCTCAGCAGCACAAGTGTACATGCTTCATTGTTATGATTAAAATATGGCAGATTTAATAATTTTGTTTTGAGGGCTTGATAATTTATTGTTTCTTTATTATTGTTACTACATTTTCCTTTTTTTTTTAATTTTTTTAACATTAAATGTATCTCAAAGCAACTTATCTCCATCACAGAAGTTTTACTTGCACTACAAGTCCAAGTGTGTATTTGGTCTTCTTTACTTTCTAGGCATCTAGAGTAAGGTTGTGGGCGAAACCTCCTTAGTAATTGCTGAAACCACGGCAAAACTATATTAAATCTTATCAAAAATCCTGTTGAAACTATGCCGAAATGGCGAAACCTCAAAATGCAAAACTCTGCCAAAACTCTAATAAACAATTAATGTGTAACCTGCTGAAACCCTGCTGATTGATTTCTGGATGAGTTTTGGCAAGCAACCTTAATCTAGAACACATACTGTCTGTGTATAGTTTTAGATTTTTCTTGTGTAGTGTTTCAAGCACTGGAAGTTTGTTCATTAATAATTTGATTTTGTAACTTCTGTCATATATTGAATTAAAAATTCTATTACTTTTTGTAAATTTCTTGCTATTAACTATGTTGTACTATGTGTTTTCCCAATCTATTGTCCCTGGTTTATTTGTGTACCAGGTTCTATTGAATCTTGTTTGGTTGTACCATTTTATTGTGTTTTTGGTTTCTACTATCTTTCTGATGAATGGCCTTAATGATGCTTGGGCTAGATGAGCATAGTGGAAGTTTGTTGTTGCACAAAATGTTGTACAGAGCTCATTGCTTCTGAAACTTCGCCAGTATATAGTTGTTACCTCTCTAAATTGGAGATCAAGTTCGGATCCAATTCAAATCCAGTTTATCACTTACTTTTTATTGCCAGAATGTTTGGCATGTATTGTAAAGCTACATTGCACAATATAAAAAATTAGTGTAACATTTCTAATTTCCACTATGCAGACTAGATGTTGGTTCCAGTAAAGGTTAAATTCATCTATTTTCCAATTTTGTTCTACCACGTTTATGATTTCTGAATTGCACCTTTCACTTGCTAATTGATCAGCAACTTCATTATGTTTTATTCCTGTATGAGCTTTGACTTTATTTATTTTTATTGTTTATTTATATCTAGAAAAACTAACAATAATTGTTACTATAGAAGAAAATTTATGATATTAATTTTAATAGGTTAATAAAAACTATCACAGGTCAAAAATTGACAAAACAGCTATATTTAAACCAATAATTATTGAGGTGTGTAAAGTTGGCATCTGATCTAAGAAATTGCAATTTGGGATGTTTCAACCTAGGTCACAACTGTTGCAGAATTTCAAATCAGTTGCAGTCACCAACTTTAGAGACATGGTTAGATTTGAATGTTAAATCTGGACATCCACTTTTTGGTAGCTTTATGATTATAATTTGAAACTATTGACTATTTTTTGGTAGGCTTGTAAAGCAGTTAAAAATACATCTAATACATGGTTTTGGAAGTTGTATGACCATTTAATAAAGCTCTCACCAAGTTTTTCTTCATATAAATCATTTTTCAATGAAAGATCTGCATGTTTTAGCCAATAATATTTGTTTTGATTTTAGACAAAACAATTCTGGATTATGTAACTTTAGAAATTTTGGAGCTATTTTTATAAATTTAAATTAAAAAGATAGCCAGATACTCATAGTTTTATTTAGTAAATTTTAAAGTATAAATCTACATGTAAAATATTGTGCTATTTCTACAGCGGTTCCAGATTATGGACACTAATTGATTTTACTATGATGCTTATCTCGGAATTTTACTATGTAGATCCTTTCCTTCACTGATGGATAGTGATCACAATCATCATATTCATGAATATTCATTAAGGGGGTTACACTTATCAAAAATCCAAAAATCCCTTAAAA